CACAGGTGTTAGGCCCCCAGGACCTGGTCACAGGGATGCAATCGCCTTGCCGTCTTAGGTCACCGCACTTTTCTTGCCTTTTTTTTTTTTTGACAGGCAGAGTGGACAGTGAGAGAGACAGAGAGAAAGGTCTTCCTTTTGCCGTTGGTTCACCCTCCAATGGCTACCGCAGCCCGCGCTGTGGCCGGCGCACTGCGCTGATCGAATGGCAGGAGCCAGGTACTTATCCTGGTCTCCCATGGGGTGCAGGGCCCAAGTGCTTGGCTGCACTCCCTGGCCACAGCACTCCCTGGCCACAGCAGAGAGCTGGCCTGGAAGAGGAGCAACTGGGACAGAATCTGGCGCCCCGACCAGGACCAGAACCTGGTGTGCCGTCGCTGCAGGCGGAGGATTAGCCTATTGAGCTGCGGCGCCAGCCTTGTTCCTTCTGTTTCTGTTTATGTGAGCTCTATCAATCTTTGCCGTGTTATAATGAGACCTGAGATATTTCCTACATTTTTATTTATGAACTGATTTAAAAATAAAACAATAAACCCATTACTTATAATATTTTAAAAGACTGTATTTTCTAATGCAAAAAAAATAATGTGGCATTGTTTGAAATTTCTGCCCCTTCCCCTTTCTGCCTGGCGTGATGGAGGGTAGTGGGACTCTCCCCTCGGCCTCTGCAGACTCAATAGGATAAAGTGTGCACCTGCCGTGTGTCATCTGTCACCAGGCACTGCAGGAGCCTCATTTGCGCTAGCCTGCACCAGGTCACTCCTGGAAAACCCCACTGCATGCTGAGCTGAGAGTGAGAGTGAAGGGGCCAGGCTGTCCCTGCGAGCTGTGATGGGAGAGTTGTGAGTCACAGGTCCCCTGAAAGGGTCGCGGGGACCTCTGTGGGGCCCCAGATCAGTGTGAGAAGCGCTGGATGAAAGCACGTGGGAATCGTGGAGTTGGACTGTTTCCTTTCTCCAGGGAAGCTTGACTGTCCACCTAAGCCATGACCTTGACCTGTGCAGAGGCAGACCAGTGACACCCCAGGCCTGTGGCTGCCTGAGGGGCTCTGGGAAGCTGCAGGTCCATGCAGCGCAGTAGCAGCCCTGGCCACGCAGATTAGGAGAGGAGGGAGCAGCCTGGGAGGAGGAGGGGCCCTGAGTGACAATCAGGAGCTGAGCTTGAACTCTGAAGGCTGGGAAGGGACTGCTGACCTTGGCTACTTCCCTTTGGAGAGACGATGCTTTCCCACGTGTGAAGGAGGAGCTCGGGCAGGCTCCCCAGATTCTGTCCAGTTTGACTGAGGCTGGAAGGGTTAGCTCCCCTAAGGAAACTGCCTCCCTGAGAAAACAGTTTTTAAGGCTTTGCGGCAGCAGTTAGGGGAGAGTCCAGGATGCAGGGAAGGGGGAGTAGGAGCCGCTTCCTGCTCTGACTCAGGCCGGCCTCCTGCAGCTTCCTTGTCCCTGGGGGGCTGCCCTCTGGGAGAGCAAGCTTGCAAGGTCAGCTTTCCTGGAGCCTGCTCTGCAAAGCCAGCCCTGGGCAGTGAACCATGTCAGATCGTCCCCTCCTCTTCCTGTGTCCCCTCCTCCTTGCCTACACCCTACACTCTGGGCTCTGGTAGTCACTTCTGTTTGCTTCAAGGGTGCCACGTTCTTAGTGTAAACAACTGGCACCCAAGTGGGATGCCGGCGTCGCAGGCAGAGGCTACCTCTGCACCACAACACTGGCTACCAGCAGGCTCATTTTTACATTGGTAATTGTGTGTGGCCTGCAAATGATATTATATATATCCAAATGGCTCTTGGCAGAAAAAAAGCTCCCCACTCTTGAAGGTGGTGTAGAACTTAACAGATTGTAATGTGTGAATGTGTGTGTGTGTGTGTGTGTATATTTGAACATCTCTTTTATTCCCAGCATATTTGCTTCATTTTATCTAACGCCATTTGCCATATAAGCTTTTTTCTTTTAATATTAGAAGGTCTGGGCCAGAGCTGTGGTGCAGCGGGTTAACGCCCTAGCCTGAAGCACCGGTATCCCATATGGGTGCCGGTTTGAGATCCGGCTGTTCCACTTCCAATCCAGCTCTCCGCTATGGCCTGGGAAAGCAGTAGAAGATGGCCCAAGTCCTTGGGTCCCTGCACCCATGTGGCAGACCCAGAAGAAGCTCCTGGCTCCTGGCTTCACTTCGCTGCAGCTCCGTCCATTGCGGCCAATTGGGGAGTGAACCAGCATATGGAAGACCTCTCTCTCTCTCTCTCTCTCTCTCTCTCTCTCTGCCTCTCTGTGTAACTCTGGGGACTCAAGTTACCCTGAGCACTAGTCCCTAGGGACACACAGTCCCTGGCCAAGACAGGGGGCGCTGCAGCTCCCGGCCTGACCCCCGGCAGGCTCTCAGAGCCTGCCTCTGCCTCTCAGTCCTCTGTGTAACTCTTTCAAATAAATAAATAAATCTTTAAAAAAAAATTAGGTCTTTGTAGAATGTACTTTTTACTAAAGGTAAAATAATTGTCTTTGTTCAGTTTGAGAAGTTGTATCGTGTGTCAGTCTTGTTAGCTTAGAATTTACATTTGGAATTCATGCTGGGACAAGATAGAGGCATGACACTGAAATGGGTGTCAGCCTCCAATTTTGTTGGCTCGTTTCCCTTTGGCCAGTCTTACTTGCAGCCTTTCTGTAGATTCTTGAAAACAGCTAGTAACTGCATTTCATCCTGGTGCTCATTCGTCCGTCCTTCCTTCCTCCCTCCCTCCCTCCCTTTCTCCCTCCCTCCCTCCCTTCCTTTCTTTCCACTTATTGTCAGGTTCATTCAATTTCATTTTTTTCCAATTTGTTTTTGCTTTGCCAAAAATCTGCCTGCCCCTATTCCTTTGCCACCTGCACTGTTTTGATATTTTTTTCGCCAATAGAGAGGTACAGAGTCTACAGCTTGTTTTGAATTCTACAACAATTGTATTTAATTAAAAAACACCTCACTGGGTTGAGCTGGTGCTTGGGATGTCTGCCTCTAACACTGGGGTTCCTGGAATCGAGTCCACCTCCGCTTCCCAGCAAGCTCTCTGCTGGTGCTCTTTGGAGGCTGCAGCTGATGGCCCCAGCACTTGGGTCCCTGTCTCCCATGGGGGAGAGCCACATGGGATTCCTGGCTCCTGACTTTGTCCTGGCCCAGCCTTGGCTGTTGGGGCATTTGGAGAGTGAACCACCGGATGGAAGGGAAAGCCCTGTGTGTCTCTACTTCTTGCTCTCTGTGCCTCTGCCACACCTGGTTCTGGCCCAAAGCAGAGGGGGTGGTGGTTGGGGGGAAGCGCTGAGGAACAGGCTGACATTGGCCTTAGAAGAGTGATTCCAGACCAGGCTGAATCTGAAGTTCAGGATCCTGCTTTCACCGTCGTGATTGATGTGACCCTGACAGCTGGGGTCTGCAGGGCACGGATGGGGCGGGAGCAAAGTGGGCAGGAAACACTGAGGCTACCCCCACCCCGGAGTGTCTCAGCTGCTGCTTTTCTGTCCTCTGACCTCGGCGCTCATCTTCTGATGGGCAGGTGCCTGGGAAGGGGCTCTGAGAGCCTGCCGGGGGTCAGGCCGGGAGCTGCAGCGCCCCCTGTCTTGGCCAGGGACTGTGTGTCCCTAGGGACTAGTGCTCAGGGTAACTTGAGTCCCCAGTTCCCATAACCAATGGGGCCATTCTGGAGCCCTCCACCTCCTTCCCCGGTGAGTGATGTCCAAGGCCCCAGCTGGAGTCCCAAGAGCCACCCAGCTCCTCTGTGTCCTGGAGCTTTGAGCCAGCCTGATGAGAGAAGCCCTGCACCTGCCCAGCCTAAGAGGCTAGCCGCGGTGTCACAAAGCAAGCAAGAGACCCAGCAGAGTCTCCCGACACTTCCAGCCCTGGCATCTGCATGCCGACTTAGACCCACCTGCAGAACTGGCTTCCTCCCCCGGCCGCTCCTGTCCTGGCCAAAGGGCCTCTTCAGCCTCCCATCATAAGCCTTTCCCACATCTGCCCCCACCCCCACCCCGTGTCACTGCCCCTCCTCAGCCGAATGTTGGTGGCGCTGAACTGAATTGAGTGTTGAAGTCCACGTCCCTGTGGCCTGCTCTCAGAAATCTCCCCATCTGGCCCACATCAGAGCCCTCTATCCAACCCCCTTCAGCTGTCTCTTCAAGGGCAGAACCTTCCTTTCAAATGAAAATCCCAAGCCACTGACACAAGCTCTTTTCCTCTCTCTGGCCCCTTAATCTCCACTTCCCTCACAGGGGCCCCTAAGTGGGACTCCTGTTCTGGTTTTAAATAAACTGAAAGTCACCTGACACCCAGAGTCAATCCATCTTCAGGGCCTGGCCTGGGGCGAGTGGGGCCAGCCCACAGCGCCACCCATGGCAGCCCTCCCCCCGCAGCTCAGTGCAGACACCAGGGCTCAACGGTACAGAAAGGCCCTGCTGGCATCCCCCTAGACCCAGCCGAGCACGCTGGGTGCCCTCTCCCGGTGTCAGGGTGAAGAGGAGCTGGGTTCCAGAATGTGCAGGATGGAAGGGAGAGACACGTGGGGGCAAGCCAGGGATGCTGCACACGGCCGCCCAGGTCTACGAGAGCATAGAGGTGACTCAGGCCCTCCCACCACGACTGTTCCTATTGTGCCGATCTGTCCCAGAGGTCACGGGCACTCACGGCTGCTGCTCTCCCACCCTGACCCAGTCCCCACAGGGCACAGGTGAATCTCAGGCATTGCCTGCAGGGTCCTAAGCGGGTCTCTGCCTGGGGCTGGGGGCTGTGGAGCCACCTACACTCTCCAGGAACACGGGGAAGCTCTGCTGCAGCTGGGCGCCGGGGTCACAAACTGGAGCAAACAGGTTTCAGTGTAACCATGGGGTCAGCACCACCTGATGGTGGCGGTTGGGGGTGGTGGCTCCTGGTACTGCTGTTGTCTTCCAGAGACGGGGTGTCCTGGCCCCAGGAAAAGCCTGGGGGTCGGGCTCAATCAAGTGTATAGGATGCCATGAAGACACACGGAAGGCTGCTGCCCAGCCTGGGAAGGACACGTGGTGGGCATGGCCTCTCTTCCAGGAGGCACCCATCATCCAGGTGCCCCATGGCATAGGAGGTAAGGAGGCCTCGGGCCAGGGAGGGCACACGGGCCTGGTCTCCCAGCCCAGGGCTGGCTCTGGCCATCTCCAGCCTGTGACTGTCCCCGGAGTGCGTGGGGCTGCCATGCCAGTAGGGAAGTCTTCAGCCGTGGCCCCCAGGCTGGGATGGCCTGCATGGGCCCTGGTTCCGGGGGCTCCGAGGCCTGTGGAGGAGCCCATATCCACAGGCCCTCCTGGTGCCAGCATCAGAAGAGTCGTCTTCCCTCTGTCCTTCTCCTAAGAAGAGGCAGAGGCAGAGGGGGCTCAGGGCCCAGGGCCCAGGCCTGACTCCCTCTAATCTGAGCCCTGTGGCAGAGCCCCTGGGTGCAGGAAGCCCAGCAGCAGGTGCATCCCCTCTCCCAGCCATGCAGGTTCCTGAAGGGACACAGGTCCACTCTGCCCTGGGGACAGCGTCTCCCTGCAATGTATGCAAACTCTTGGGGGAAAGGTGCTGGAAAACACACGTGCACCCAATCTGCCGTGGACCCCAGTAACCAAGGAAAGCCTTGGTGAGGACGTGGCCTGCCCTGGCCCAGGATGGAGTCAGGACCCCTCTCTGACCTCCCCTCCCTGAGCACAGAGCCCCCGAGAGGAGAAAGGAGATGTTTACTTACCAGGTGTTTCTCCAGGGAGGGGAGCACGCGATGCACGATCTCTCCCAGGTGTTGCTGGAATCGCTCCAGTTTTGGGGTGTTCGGTTTGTAAAAACCTGAGTAGTATCAGCCACACCCCCACGTTAGAGCCTCCTAGGAAGGCTGGAGAGCCCAAGGCCGGTGTGGGGTCTTTCTGAGCACTGAGGGTCAGGGGAGGCTAGACCAGGGGCAGGTGGGAATGAACGTGGCCAGGGCAGAGGACCTGCTTGGGAGGTGGGTGCAGGTGGGTGACTGTGTGCAGCCCAGGCCAGGCTGCCCCTGGATCCTGCTGGGGTGGGTGCTGTCAAACTGGGTGCCTCCTGACCATTCTGACACTCAGGAGTGAGGAGGGGGTGACCCTACAGGGATGCTGCCTTCTCCAAGTTCCCTGGGTGTGGCTCTGTGCTTGAGAGTCTGCGTAGAGATGTGTGAGGCAGAAGAGCCAGAAGCGACCTGAGTCACTGGACAAGGACACGACCCCTGTTCTGAAGGTTCCCACACCCAGGATGGCCATGGCCAAGCTGCAGGGCCTTTGGATGGTGGTGAAAGAAGGGGGCTGGCTCAGTCTGGGAGGCCTCTGCCAGCCCTGGCTTCTAGGGAGACCACCCCAACCCCCGCCCTCCAGGGACATTGCCATGCACAGTCAGGAGCCAGTGAGGGCCGTGCATGGACTTGCATGCACTGGGCCCCACACGCGCCATCCACCTACCATGCATCGCGTGCTTGCTGTTTTCCATGAGCTGGACCAGGGCTCAGAAAGAGTCCTCGGGCATATACATAAGCAGGAGCGCCACCACATGGCTCAGGCCCTGGCTGTAGCCCACCTCCTGCAAGATCCCAGAATACCTTTAGACCTCCCCTGGCAAGAATAATATCCTGGGATAGCCCACCTCTCAGGGAGACCAGGGTCACCCACTGAAGGGTCTAGGAAGATTGGGGAGGGAGCCCCTGTGCCTGAATCCTCCAAGAATTGGAGCCCATGGAAGGTCTCAGAGTTCCTGGAGGGAATCCTGCAGGGCCTGAGCTTAGGCAGCACAGGGGGGAGACCTGAAGTATGGGCACCTGTTACCCCCAAGATGTCAGGATGGGCCAGGTTGCTGTGGGAATCCAGATCCACGCCCATGGAAGCTTCTGGACCCCTGAGCTCTGCGGGTGACCTGGTGGCCCTTTCTCACATGAGGAAGAAATAAGCCAGGAAGTGCTACCAGGACCAGAACAGGAGGTGTGCCTCTGTCATGGGCGCAGGCCTGGGCTTCCTGAGTGCCAGGACCCCTGGGAACCAGGGCACCAGGCAGGGTTGGCCAGTGGCAGGTCAGGGGATGGGGATGTCCAGGCCTTGCTGGGTCACCCCTGGCGCCCTGCACCTGCTCCATGCATGGGAAAGGTCTGGGTGGGTGGTTGTGGCAGTGGCACTGTGTGGAGTGGGATTCAGGCCCATGGGTCCAACCACATGTCTGGTGGGTGTAATGGCATCACTGGGACCCAACTTTGATGAGCAAAGTCATACACCTGATCTGTCCTGCCTTCGCCCACCGCCCCACTGTGTGGAATGCTAGTCCTGGGAGGGGCGTCCCAACATGGCCAAGCTCCTGGGGTCTGGAGACCAGCCCAGGAGAAGGCTGCCTTTCTCCTCTCAGAACTTAGGGTTGGGTCCAAGGAGGCCCAGAGCCTGGCCTCTACCCCTCTGTCTTGGAGCTGTGGATGAGAGAGGCCCCCTCAACCCAGGCTGGGATCTCAGTGACCAGGGGCGCCCTGCATGGACAGCTCTGGATATGACCTTGGAACGTTACTGCAGAATACTCACGGGGTTGTACATTGAGTATGCGAGGAGCACCTCAAATAAGGAGCGTTGTCTGGAAGAGAGAGGACAGAGGCTGTGTGTCCTGTGCTACCGAGGCTCTCAGTGTGGCTCTGCCTTACAGAGCCTGACAGCCACACGCAGCGCCCGTGACACTCTGCTCATGAGCAGTGACGTCGTCAGGGCACCTGTGTGTGGTCCACCGTGTGGGTGAGCGCTGCCTGCAGGGACACGCACACCTCCCAGGGTGCAGTCACGTGCAGTTTCGTTTCCCCAGGTGGGTGTTCATTGCACAGGTGAGCGTCCCACTGTGGGAGGTGCAGTCCCGTGGGTCTAAGCCGTGGAGAGTCAGCCTCTCATGCACGTTCATTCTGGTAGGGAGCAGCTCCTGTGGCCTATGTGTTCCCCATGAGCCTCAGTGGCCAAACTCCCCACCTCCCCCAGCCCGTGGCCACCACTGCCCTGTTGTGTGTCCCGGATTTGGCCTCTTGCAGACGTCCTGTGAGTGGATCACAGCACGTGTAGCCTTTGAGGGACGCTTCCATCTCTTAGCAGAATGCACCTGAGATGCATCCAGGTGAGCCCAGGGCCGAGCCTCGTCCTGCCTCTCACTGAATCCCATTCTAGGATTCAGCTGCGACACGGGTTGCTTATCCATTCCCCACTGAGCATCGTGCAGTGACTGTGAACACAACCCTGAATCTTGCGCGAGGATTTTCTTGCACTCAGCTGTTCTAGTGGTTGTGTGAATGTGTGTGTGTGCTGGGGGTTTGTGTGGAAGGTGTCTCTCTCTCTCTCTCTCTCTCTCTCTCTCTCTCTCTCTTTTTGACAGGCAGAGTGGATAGTGAGAGAGAGACAGAGAGAAAGGTCTTCCTTTTGCCTTTGGTTCACCCTCCAATGGCCGCCGTGGCCGGCGCGCTGCAGCCTGTGCACTGAGCTGATCCTAAGGCAGGAGCCAGGTGCTTATCCTGGTCTCCCATGGGGTGCAGGCCCCAAGCACTTGGGCCATCCTCCACTGCACTCCCTGGCCACAGCAGAGAGCTGGCCTGGAAGAGGGGCAACCGGGACAGAATCTGGCGCCCCGATCGGGACTAGAACCTGGTATGCTGGTTCACACAGAGGTGCCCACTGCTGCTAGGCGGAGGATTAGCCTATTGAGCCAGCCAGGTGTGTGTCTCTCATTGTGAGAAATGGCCCTGGGTGCTGCCGGGGGCCTGGGCCACTGTGCTCTGTTCCTGCAATGAACTGGAGTGGCGCTCGCCTCACCTTCTCCCCAGCACACGGCGTCCTCGGTGGTCTTAGTTCCCCCATTCCCACAGCTGTGCGCTGGTGCCCCGTTGTGGTTTAGGTGCTAAGCATGTGTTCATGCGCTGAGGAGGTGAATTGTGTGTGCTTTCATGAAGGGGCCCACCTGAGCCTGTGTCCCTGGGGCGCTGGGAGGTGCCCACTGCTTCCTTGTTACTGAGTTGAAGGGCTCCTTGAATATTCTAGAAATAATACCTTTCATTTCATTCTCTCCACAGTGTCTTTTGGAAAGTTGATGTAATCTGAAAAAGGCCCATGGATCCATTTTGTTTTCTGTGCTAAGTGAACTGTTTCAGGTTTGCACCCAGGTCTTCCCCAGGAACCCCACGTGCCCCAGGACCCTTGCTCCTCCCAGCCCCGGGTCCTCCCCAGCCCAGAGGCCTCACTTCATTCCGTAATGTTCCCAGAACATCAGGTGGTTTCTAAAAGTCCATGTGATGGCGGAGTCGATGTGATGGAAGTGAGTGGCGCCCAGCCTGGCCTGCTCTTTCATCTCCTGCAGGGCAGGGACAAGGGGGAGGGGCCAGCCTCAGGACCAGCAAAAGCCCCATTGCCACATGAGGCTCTTTACTCCACGTCAGCTCTTCTGGCTGGCGGGGAGAGTTCCCTGCAGGGCGCTCATTCCCTTCTGGGTCCCACGTTGAGGGAGGGTCATGGGCTCCCTACTTGCCTCAGTGTCCACGTCACCCCTGTGGCCAGCATCCCTGCTGAGGGGGCCACTGGGACCCCGATGGTCAGCATCAGACAGGAGCTCTGAAAGGTCCCTGTGCACTATCCCTGCCTGCCCTCAGCTCTCAGCACAGACGCGGTCTGACCTCAGCCAGGCTTCCGATCCCCCTCGCTGGCATCTCAGGCCCTGCCCTCCAGGAGTCAGCCACAGCCTGACCACTGCTCCATGGTGCCCCCTGCTGGAGGAGCCCATCTCCATGTAGACATTGGAAGCCACCCTTGGCTTGGAGCCGAGCCTGGGCAATGACTGTCTCCAGGCCCAGCTCCCAGGGCCAGCCCCAAACTGCAGACTTGGGGGAGGCAGGGTGGGCCACACAGCTGGGCCCTGCTCCCTGATGGCAGCCGGGGACATGAGAGCCAGCTGCAGTTGCCAGCCCTCTGCTCACACCAGCCCTCGCTCCCTCCTTTCCCACTCCCTCCTTTCCCGGAAGCATTGAGAGCTGTCTGACCATCGGACCAGCCACTCCAGGCAAGGGCAATGCCAGGGGCTGCAAGTGCATGTGAAGGCAGGGCCAGCTGTGGGCGGGCCCTGTTAGCACAGAGCCTGTGGGGCTCCCGACCTCACACCATTGTGATCTCATACTGGGAGACCCCCGCCCATCATGGGCACAGCAATTCCTCTGTTCTGGCCTTATGCCAAGCTGCCCTGGTGAGCTCAGCAGAGAGCAGGATGAAGCCTCTGGCACAAAACACACATGTGCAGTCCCAGCTGGGTCTGGGGAGACGTGGAGGAGGCACTGACTAGGATCTAGGGAGAGAAGCAGGCAGGATAGGGAGGAGGCTCCCAAGGGCTCAGTGAGGGACAGTCCTCCACGGAGACTCAGGCTCCTGACCAGGCCCGAGCAGGCTGGGTCCCCTTGGGTTGAGTGCAGAGCCGTACCTCATATTTGCCCGGATTCTGGGCCTTCTTCTTGTCCACCTCCAGCATCACAGCCCACACCTTCCCGTGCACCTGGGCAGGGATGCCCTTGTAGATTCTCCGCTGAAACTACAGGAGAGAGGAGGCTCTGGTGAGTGGTGAACATGGTCACTTGGGGAGGGAGCGCAGGGTGAGACAGCAGGAGGGAGAAGCCAGGGGCTCCGTGTGTATTGGCAGAGGGAGGATCTGCCCAGATGGTGGCCTTATGACCCATATTGACAGGGGGCCAAGGGCTCAGGGGCACTGGCTCTGCCCTGCAATGACTGCCCCTATAGGGCTCCTGGAACCACACCTGCCCTACATCTGGGATTGTCTTCAGCAGTGACTTCAGATTTTCTACCAGGACAGTGTCCTGCATGTATGGGGAAGGGGTGCACATGACCTGTGTCCCTGGGGGCTGGACAGTTGCCTCTGGGCATCTGAGAGGCAGGCGGTGCCTGGCTCGGGAATGGGCACTGCTCAAACCCCAACTCAGCTCTCAGTGTTCCCGAGGGGCTCTCAGCTGCACGGTACCTTCTCGCTGCCATGGTATTTGCTATGATTCTTTATCATTTTCACCCATTTCTGGATCCTGCGCACTTGTTTGCACTGGAAAACAAGACAGGATGGTGTGAGCCCAGCTTCAGGCTCTGAGAGTGGCCCTCAGATGCAGCTCAGGAGCTCTGTGTGCCCTTAAAGGAAGGAGCCAGAAAAGGCACAGACTGTGAGCCCCAGGTCTTCTGTCTGGGGAGCGTCGGTGGCCTGGCCTCTGACCTGAGCTGCCCCATCCTCAAGGCAGAGCCCCTGAGCTCCAGCCAGGTCACTCCCAACCATGCCAATGACTCATGGCGGCTGACAGGCAGACGCCCCTGAGCTGCGGCTCAGTTCTGGGGCAGGCGAGTGTGTTAAGATGTCAGCAGGTGCCATGTAAGTACCACATTGCAGGACCTTATGGCACTCCCACTAACCACTGCCAAGCCCCACATGCCCCCTCCACCCAGCTCTGCTTCCAGATGACTGGCCCGTGGCCAAGGACTTGTCCTTACCTTTGCCCCCGGGGTGCTGTCTTGGGGCAACTTCTGCTCACTGGAAAGCAAGGGAGATGGAGAGGTGAGGACAGGACCACAACCGGCACCTCCACCTCCCTACTGGGCCAGGGAAGTACCAGCCTCATCCTCTCTTCCCAGGGGACTCAGATGGGAAGGGAGGGGCTGGTAACCATGAGCACAGGGAGCCCAGGGCCAGGCAGGGGACCTTGCTGCCAGTGGGGGGCTCCAGGCCTGTCAGAGATCCACCTTCCTGGGCATGTGGCAGCACCCCCACAGCGGTTGGGGGGTTGCTGTCCTGAGCAGGGCCAGGCTGCCCAGGGAGGAGGGAGCAGTGTCCCCACACTAGCTCTCCCCAGGAAGTCACCCTGGAACTGACCGAGTCCGGGTGGCCTGCCTGAGAGATGCTCAGTGCTGAGTGTGCACCTGGGGCTGAGGCACCTGGGACCACCACACCTCCCAGGGTCCCCCCCAGCCCACCATCCTCCCCTGTGCACTGGCCGCCTGAGGTGCTGGCTCCACACCTGCCCCTCCTCTGTCAGCCCAGACCCTAGCCATCTCTCCACCACTCTGCTCCTTTTTTTTTCTCCAGGTTCTGGCACACTATGGAGCCAGAACCCCCTATCCCTGAGCTAAGGTGGGCTGCTGAGTCAAGCCAAGAAGGCCTGAGAAGGCTCCATCCCTCTAGGTCACCGGAGCCCACCCTCCAGCCATGGGGCCTCTCTCCCTGACATCTGTGGGAACAGCCTCCAAGTCTGCCTCCTGCCCCCCAGGCCCCACTCCTCCCAGCACAGACCCGGGGGCAGGTCCCTCAGCTGCACCCTCCCCATGGTCTGTACTATGGGATCCCGCAGGCAGTTTCAGAGCCTCAGAGACTACACCCCTGGCCATCCCTCAGACTAGGTCTTAGTAAGCCTTGAGCCTGGGCCCTGAGACCCAGGCACCTGCTGGACAACTGCCCAGCTGCTAGGCTGGTGCCCCAACCCTGTGGACACAGCTCTGGAGTGGCAATGGCCAGGCTGTGTTGCCTGGGAGCATGGGGACCCTCAAGCCACCCCCTCTACTTAACAGAAACAGAGGCCTCAGAGTAAGAGTGCCCAGTGCTTGCCCCACGTCCAGCTCTGTCCCTGCCTGCAGTCCTGAGTCACAGGGTCACTCGGCTCTGGCCAAATGCTGACCAGTGCCTGCCTGTGACCACAGCTGGGCTCAAGGTTGGGGCCTGGGGACAGGTGTGCCGCTTCATGTTGGGGTTTCTGACCCCAGTCCCTGCCCTGGGGTGGGGTGGGGTGTGGAGGACTCACTGCAGGAACCCAAGCCTGTCTGGGACGAGGCAGCCGCCCTCATCATCCTCTTCTTCAGGCTCCAACAGTGCCGCTCCTCGGCATCCCTGCAGCCAAGAGGGGACCTGGATGAGAAGTCACTGTGGGAGCTGAGCCGCCCGCCCAGTTCTGTGTCCCCAGGAAGGTGGGGTCTGGCTCTCACAGGCACAGTCCTTGAGGCAGGGCCCCACCTCCTCCCCCAGCACCCTGGCCCGTACCTGCTCATATTTCATGATGATCGCTGCTCGCTCCAGGGCCCTCCGGTACCTCTGGGTGTCCATATCCAATCTGTAAGACACACACGCACTTGTGAGCCAGTACAGGGGAGCCCACGGGAAATGCTGCCCTGAGGACTGTCCCCTTGTTCAGAGGGGGGACAGCCACACAGCCAGGTGAGTGGGCACCTGGTGGCTGTGTCCCAGGAAGATGACTCGTCCAGAGCACAGGGACTAGGGATGGTTGGGGAAGGACAGCCCCCACCTTGCCTCCCCTGCCCTAAGGTAGGACGCTCTTCCCCCAGCCTGGCATCCACATGTCCTGCAGGGAGCCCAAGTCTAAGGGTTTCCCTGGCCCGCTCTCAGACCACGCATCTCTGGGGCTCTCAGAGCCGGCCTCCCTGCCGCACCTGATACCAGGTGACCCGACACCTAGTCTTGAACCTGTGTCTGACACAGACTCACACCAAGGCCCATTCGACATTGATGCCCAGCAGAGCAGGAGGAATGAGACGACTGTATACACCCTCTGCACACAGGGGTACCATGACAGCTCAGCCATATCACTCATGGAACCCGGCGTGGGAGACCAGTGCCACCCACCTGGGCGCGACCTTCCCTGCATCACAGGCCATGCAGAGAGCCAGTCCCACTCACCTCCATCTTGAATCCATTGGATTCTCTCAAATGTGCCTCCTGCCTATGCTACCAACACCTGGTCAGTTGGGCAGTAGACTCACTACTGGCCACTGGTCGCCTCCCAGCCCAAAGTGCGCATCCTCAGTGCCTGTGACATCACAGAAACCTGCCAGCCAATCCCAAGTGGCTCTGTGTGGCAGGGGTCAGGGTTCTCAGCCCTGGATTAATTAAAGGTCACCAGAAGTGGGGCCTGTGTTCTCCCCAGGGCCCAGGTGAAGAGGGCAGGGCTCTGGCAGAACTGCCCCGGAACCAGGGGTGCCAGGGCCCTCTGCCACCTGCCATAACGGTCCCAAGTCCCAGGCAACCTGCACCTCCTGCCCCTCCTTTCTTCCTCTGCAATTTTATTACAGCCCAATTGTGAAGGTCTCTTTATTTGAACACAAGGTGGCACAGGGAGCCCCATCATGGACTGTCCATCTTCCTGAGGTCCCCACACTCCGTGGTTGCCCCTGTAATGACCTGAATGGAGACTGCCAGGGCTGCAGCCTCCTGTCCTACCACAGACCCCACCCCAGCACTCCCAACCCCTGCTGACCCCTCCTGCTCTGTTCCAGCCCCTCTTCCCAGGAGTTTTAGGAGGAGGACACAGGGGGTCCTCCTGGGATGGAGGACAGGGGAGCCGCCCACTGAGCACCACCTGCATAGGACCTCAAGCCGGCGTGGCCCAGACTGTCCAGAGCGGGAGCCAGGGCCCTGTCCTGGACACTGACCAGGGCTTCAGACAGATCACTGTGACTCCTCCGACAAGCACCTCATCCGCATGCTGGTAACTCCAGGCTAGTGCTGGCAGTAAGGGCAGAGACAGCACATGTGGGGCCAGAGCAGCCACAGGCCCGCAGCTCCCAGCACTGCTGATGACCAGGACGCCCAGCCCTGGGAGACCCAGGGGTCACTGTCAGCAACACCAGGCCAGTCGTGCTCAGCGCTGGCTCTGCAGAGGCCAGGAGGCCCCTGTAGGTCTGGCTCAGCCACATGGGCTCTGGCTCAGGCTGCCTTGCGTGTACTCCCTATGCTGTCTGCCTGGTGAAAGGGAAGCTGCCTTTCACTGTGCGGCCTCGTGTTCCTCTGTGTGACGTGAGCACACGTGGATACCCAGTGTGTCTGCTCCAAGGCTCTCCCTGGGGCTGGAGGCTCCACATCTGAAGCACAAAGATGCTTATTTATTTATTTTTATTTATTTGACCGTCAAGCAGTGAGAGAAACAGAGAGACAGAGAGAAAGGTCTTCCTTTATTGGTTCACCCCCCAAATGGCTGCTATGGCTGGAACTATGCCTATATGAAGGCAGGAGCCAGGTGCTTCCTCTTGGTCTCCCATGTAGGTGCAGCGGCCCAAGCACTTGGGTCATCCTCATTGCCTTCCTGGGCAGAGAGCTAGACTGCAAGAGGAGCATCCAGGACTAGAACCCAGGGCTCATATGGGATGCCAGCACCACAGGCAGAGGATTAAGGAAGTGAACCATGGCACCAGCCCCACAAATGCTAATTTTGGTCTTTGCCAATGACACTTCCTAGCATGTTGGCTATACTAAGTGGCACCAGGTGTCCTGCAATTGTCCCAGCCTGCCTCCCTGGGCTGTTTCTTAGTGAGGATGGGGGAATGCCAAGGGCACAGCCCCATGGGGCAGCTCCCCCACACGAGGGGCACACAGGTCACGTGAGGTGTGGGTGGCCTGGCAGGACTGGAATGCACCCACCTTCATGCACACCTGTGCCCCTCAGTGCAGCATGCGTGGGTGAGGCTGAGTGGACAAGTGCTGATGGGCTCAGGAGGTGCCCAGGATCAAGCCCTGCTCTGGTCCTAAGGCTGCCAGCTGCCCAGTGCCCGCCAGCTTGGCCCAGGGAAGGGGGAAGCAGGAGGGAGGGGCGCCCTCACCGCTAGGACACGGCTTCTGGACCGCAGGGTCAGGTGGTGGCCACAGCATCGGTCCTCTCCACATTGGCCCTCTGCTCTGGCCCTGGAAGGAAATGAGGAAGAACAGAAGATGCACCTGTCCCTGGAGCCCCTCCCTGCCCTTGCTGAGACTCCAGCACAGGCCTCTCCTGACCATTCCACCATGGCTGTGGCAGTGACAACTCAGGACCACCCACAGCCTGGGCTCAGCCCTGTGGCCCTTCAGGGATGAGGAGGAGCCCCCTGCTCGTCACCTCTAGGGGAGCCCAGGGCTTCCCAGAACCTGCTCCTCCTGGGCAAAGTGGCTCAGCCCTCACCCAGCACCTCCTTAGTCCTGGGTCCCACACGAACCCCCAGGCTTCCATCTTGGTGCTACAGTCTGTCCTTGCCCCTCCAAGGGCCTTTCTTGGCCTCTGTCCACTTACCTTGCACAGGCACAGAGAACACTGTGCCCAGGTCCCCATCCCCACCCATCTACCGCTGGATTGTCCACTCTGGACATACCATCAGCCCCTCATCCGCTAGGGAGCCTCCTGTGCCCATGAGCCCACCCCAGTGTCCCGGTCACACCTGAGCTGACCCACCTTGAGTCAGCACTGGTTTATCCATCTAGAACTTTCTACCCAGATGGGAGGGCAGGGAGGCCACCCAGGAATGCCCTGAAAAGTCCCAGTCATCACAGCTTCCTTTCTCTCCTTCTCTCATTGCCCTCCCCACGGGCAGCCATCACTTCCTGTGCTGATGCCCAGGATGGCCTCAGTTCCGGGGCAGGGGTGCAGTCTGAAGTCTCTGTACACTGGGCAGAGCTGGTACATGGGGAGGTCGGAATAAATAAGCAGCCGGGAACTCTGCCACTCCCAACAGTCTGGGGACGAGTTGTGTGGCCTCTGGCCATGAAGACACTGAGGTCAACACACAGGCGTCCCCACACCGTGAGCTCCACAGGTATCAAGGGCATGGGATGAGATAGCAGGGTCAGAAGGGTGGCTGGGCTCTCAGCAGGGACCTCCGACACCCAGGCCCCCTGACTGGGTGTCAGGACAGTGGGTGTGCACTGCTCACCCATTTTGGAGAGCAGGCCCCCCTGTGTTCTATTGGAAGAAGACGTGGCCACCTGGATACCGCTTGGATGCCCTGAACCTGGCTAGCCACTAAGGGACTTAGGATAGTGGCATCCAATTAGAGCTGGGATTCTCTGTCCCTATCTACCTCCCTCTCCTTGGACACCTGCTCCTCATATTGACAGCCCTTCCTATCTGCTGGAGGTGTCCTGGAGGCCCTGGGATGCACAGAGCCATCACAGCCTCATGCCAGGGCCTGGGGACTCTGTCCCCCCTGGTGCCCATGCTGCTGGCCCTGGGCCAGGACATTTGGGACCCTCTCCTGAGGTCTCTGCTGGCACAGAAATGCCCAGGGGCCCTCCTCATGACCTGGCCATTCTGTGCATGGTCTGCTCTGGTAGAGCCACAGTCTCAGCTGCTGGCACATTCTGCACCTGGGGCCACCATTTAGCTGCCCGTGCCCAGGACCAGCTGCTGAGGCCGAACCATCTGTGGGGCTCCAGTTTCACCTCCTGCTTTGGGACCAAGACCTCCTCCTCCATCAGGTCTTCCCTGAGCCTTCTGGTCAAGTGATGGTGACCAGCAAGCTCTGGAGTCAGGTGTTTGGGGAGGGCAATCCTATGTCTGTATGTGCACATTTCTGTGTTCTTGTGTGCATGTATATACATACCTATTTATTTATTTATTATTCCAAGAAAAAAGATTTTAATACCAGCATTCTTGGTATACATTTTAAAAATACAATATGTGACTGATTAATATACATTACAAAATCCTTAATTTTAGAATTCCCAACTGTCTAAATAGCCAAAGAATCTCACCTTCCAGTATAAACATGAATCAGTTTCTTCTATTATACCAAAATTAAAATTAAGCCATATTTGAACACTGAGAAATGAGATTAAAAATACCACCATTATAAAGTCCATGTAGAAAATGCCAACAGTGACCCCAGATGCTACCTTTATGTATTAGATTTTGTTTGTGGGACACATGATTTGTCCTATGTAAAACACGATCCATGTTAAACGCAGGGCTAGACTATGGAGGGCAGACTTGTGTTCAGAAGAGAACTTTGTAGAGCACAGGTATTTCTGGTCCTTGTACAAGTGGGTACATAAGTGTCTGAATAAGTAGATGACAAAGATTTCTTCACATGTAAGTCAGAAATAATCCCACACAGCACGTTTGTAAGGAAGAAGAGAATGAATGGGTACCAAAATATTTTCAAAGATTTGAGTTAAGTTCTTTTTAAAAGGCTGCGTTAACAGTGTATGTTATGTATATAGTATCCAATTTTAAATACACTCTAGTAGTTGGCCTTGATGAAGTGTTTTATTTATAGCTATGTCTTCCTTTTTTATTTTTTACTTTTTATTAAAGAAATATTTAATTAAGTATTTGACATTTAGAGTTACACACAGAGAGGCAGAGAGGCAGAGAGGCACAGAGAGAGAGAGAGGTCTTCCACCTGCTGGCCCACTCCCCAATAGGCCGCAGCAGCCGGAGGTGAGCAGATCCGAAGCCAGGAGCCAGGAGCCTCCCGGGCCTCCTGAGTGAGTGCAGGGGCCCAAGGACTTGGGCCATCTAGTGCTGCTTTCCCAGGTCCTAGCAGAGCGTGGCATCGGAAGTGGAGCAGCCGGGACTCACACAGGCGCCCATATGGGAGGCTGGCCCTGCAGGCGGGGGCTTTACCCGCTACCCCAACAGCCCGGCCCTCCCCGAAGCCGGTCCCCTTGGGATCCCGCCCGGGAAAGCAGAGGAGACGGCCCCAGGACTTAGGCCTCTGACCCCACCCTGCAGTACTGGGTAAAAGCCCTGATTCTGCTCCGGCCTGGCCCAGCCCTGGCCTTTGTAGCCCCCTGGGGAGGAGGGACCCAGACGGACGCCCTCTCAGAGAGAGAAAGAGGCTGGCGAGCTCACGCACTGCTCCTCTGCCACGCGGCTGCCATGGCCAGCGCTGGGCCAGGCAGAAGCCAGGCGGCAGGAGCTCCATCAGGATTCACGAGGGAGGGAGGCCGGGTCCCAGGGACCTGGGCCCTCAGCAGCTCCTCCCTGGGTCACAGCCTGGAGCAGCGGGACTGGACGCGGCCCTGGACATCAGATGCCTGATGCGGCAGCGCGCAGATGCGTCACGTGACCCCATGGCGGCCGCCCGCGTGCAGTGCGCCTGCGCCAGGCGCTGGACCCGGAAGTGCCTCTGCACGCATGGCCGCTCTGCCCCACGGTGCTCAGGTGGGAGTGAGCGCCTTGTCCGCTCCTGCCCAGAGCCAGCGCAGGCCCTGAGGAGCCGTCCTGGACGCTGCTGGCCGAGCCTGAGGGAGACCCAGCGCCCCGGGTCAGGCCGGGGCCATGTAGGCTGCAGCTGAGGCGGCCATTACCCTCAGGACTCCATGCCTGCCCTGAGGAACAGCGAGGTCCTCTCTGGGGGAGCTGGGCGCGGGGTGTGGTCAGCTGAGGAGGCCTTGCTGTCACCGGGTAGGCGGGGTCGGGGCGCTGGGCTCGCGCGGGAGGAGGCCGGGCCCGGGGGTGGGGGGCAGAGAGCGGGCAGGGGTGTGCGTGGGAGGAGGCCGGGCCGGGGGTGGGGTCAGAGAGCGGGCAGGGGTGTGTGTGGGAGGGGGCGGGGACAGGAGGGGTGGCAGAGAGCGGGCAGGGGTGTGCATGGGAGGAGGCCGGGCCCGGGGGTGGGGGCAGAGAGCGGGCAGGGGTGTGTGTGGGAGGGCGCGGGGACAGGAGGGGAGGGAGGGGCAGAATGAGAAGGGGGCGCGGAGGTGGGGAGGGAGGGGGGAGCCGTGCGCGTGGGAGAGGGAGGAGGAGAGTGACGGGTACGGGGCGGGGCGGCGGTTGGAGAGCAAGAACCTGCCCGGCCCGGTTCCGGTTTTGGGTCTCCCGTCCCCGGCCGGAAGTAGCCTGGGCCGCGTCCGTGCAGGAGCCCGGTCGGCCTCTCTGGGCCGGCTGCTCTAGGTGTGACGTGTGTGCAGGACACGGCCCGGGCGCCCGAGTGATGCGCACGGCCTCTGGTGCGTTTACGCCGCCTGCTCCCGGGAGACGCGCACTCAGAGAAAGCCGGGAGCCCCTCTGCGCTCGGGTCCAGCCTGCCCCCGGGCTCTGCCGCCTCCGAGGACGTCCTCGTGTTCCTTCTTCTGGAAGATTTGTGTGAAAGGCGGAGTTATAGATGGGGCAGTGCGGGAGAGAGCGTCGATGTCTCCGTTCACCCCAAGATGGCTACACCGGCCTGGGCTGGGCCCGGCCCAAGCAGAAGCCAGGTCCTGATCCGGTCTCCAATGTGGGCTCAGAGGCCCAAGTCCTCGGGCCGCTTCCTCTGCTGTCCCAGGCTGTTAGCAGACAGCTGGATCCCAAGTGGAACGGCTTGGTGGCGGGGGGGGGGGGCGGGGGTGGGGGGTGGGTTGGTGGCTGGGCGGGGCAGGGGGGTGCCATGGCTTAGTGGGTAAAGCCCTGGCCTGCAGTGCTGGCATCCCATCTGGGCGTCGGTTCGAGTCCCAGTTGCTCCACTTCCGATCCAGCCCTCTGCTTCAGCCTGGAAAGCAGTAGAGATGGCCCAAGCGCTTGGGCCCCTGCACCTTTGTGGGAGTCCTGGAGGAAGCTCCTGGCTCCTGGCTTCAGATCGGCGTATCTCTGGCTGTTTCTTCCAAATGTGGAGTGGACCAGCTGGTGGAAGACACCTCTCCCTCCCTCCCGCTCCTCTGTCTCTGCCTCTGTCATTCTGTCTTTCAAATAGATAAATATTAAACAAAAAAAATTGGAACAGGCGGGAATCCAGTTTGTGCCTCTATGGAATGACAATTTTCCGCACAGTGTTGTAACCTGCTGTGCCACAATGCAGGTCCCCGTAAATACATTTCTGCCCGCTGTTTATTTTTAGCTGAGCAGAAACAGGATATGTTTATTTAATAACTAGTAAACTATTTAATAATTTTTATTATAAATTATAATTGATATGATAATTATTATAAATTATAACTTACTATGGGACCACTCACATTTTTCATTTCTGTTTATGAATTTTGGTACATCTACATTTCAAGGAATTTTCACAGTTCATTATCTTATGAAATTTTTGGTCACAGCGTTCATACCATTCCCTTGTTATCTTGTGCATGGAGACTGTCCTGGTGTCACCATTCCATTAACAATATTAGTAATTTGCATTTGTTTCCTGGTTGGTCCTGACAAGAAGTTCACGAATTTTGTCGCTGTTTTCAAAGACCCCAATTTTAGTTTTGTCAGTTTTCACTGCAGTTGTATATTTTTCCGTTCCACTGACTTGTACATCTGAGTTTCACTATTTATTTTCTTCACCTTGCTTGAAGTGTTTAAATTGCTTTTCTTCCTCTGATTTCCTAGGGTGAAAGCGTAGCTCCTTCATCTTGGTTCTTCTTTCCTAAAATATGTAGTCATTAATATAAATTGGCAGGATACATGTTCACTTTAGTTTGAAATATTTTTCATTTGAGATTTATAAACGTGTTATTTTGAGGTTTGTTGATTGTTCTCCAAGTGTTTGGGACTTTCAGCTGCTTCTTACTGACTTCCCATGTAGTTCCTGTGTGATCTGAGATCTTATGTCGTGTGCTGCCTCTTCTTATGACTGAAGTCTGCTCTACACCCACGAACGTGGTCAGAGTGGACGTGCTGCGTGGGTCTGAGAAGAGTGTGTATTCTGTTGCCGTGGATGGAGCACCCTCTAAGGATCCGTTTGACACCTGGTCGATGTAGGCGCTTTTCTGTTCAGCTCCATCCTTACTGATTGTCTAAATGCTGACCTGTTAACGAAAGAGATGTCTGGACATCTGTGGGTATCAAAGTGGGTTTGTTTATTTTTGTTTGTAGTTTTAACAATTGTTGCTTATGTATTGTGGCATGAGGTTTATTTTTGGACTTACTATCTTACTCCATTGAAATGTGACCTTCTATTCTTTTATGAATCCCGAACAGTCTTGTTGTTGTAGGTTTATTATAAGTCTTGAAATACAGTATTGGCATTTCACCCAGTTCCTGTTTTTCATGATGGACCTGATAGTCGATTGTCATGGATTTTCCTAATTACAGAAAATTTTGTGGATTTCTCAAAAACCTCTTGCTGGGATTTTTATTTAGATTGTGTAAACCAATAGGATCATTTTAGAAGAAATGGTATGTTAATAATATTCAGTCTTCCAATCCTACACATGGTGTATTTATGTAGATCTTCTTTCATTTCCTTCATCAGCATTTTAGTGTTCAGCCAACATATTTTGTATTTTATTCATGGAGTTTATGAGTTTTCATTTTATTTTGCTATTTTAATTTTATATCAGTATCTGCTCATTTATGGATGGTAGTATACAACGGATTTTCTAATAAGTGATTTTTCTTAGATGATTTTATTTATTTGAAGGCAGAGGTAGAGGCAGAGGGAAAGAGAGACAGAGACAGGTCTTCCATCTGCTGATTCACTCCCCAGATGGCTGAGATGGCCACTGCTGAGCCCATCAGAAACCAGGAACCAGGATATTCTTCCAGGTCTGGCAGGCAGGTGCAGGGGCCCAGGGACATGGGCCATCTTCCACTGCTTTCCCAGGCCACAGAGGACAGGCAGTGAACAGGATCAGAAGTGGAGCAGCCAGGACTCGAGCCGGTGCCCATGTTGTGCGCCAACACTACAGGTGGCGGCTTTACCCGATGTGCCCCCGCGCTGGCCCTCCTGTTGATATTTTTACATTGCCCTTCTTCCCCTCATGGTCTTGCTAAAATTATTTATTATTCCTGGTAGCTGTGATTTCAGGTAGGAGCAATGACAGCGGATGTCCTCAGCTTTTATGTGAGCTTTGGGGGAAACTCTTCTCTCCACTGTCTCTCACCATTTAAGTGTGATGCTTGCTGTAGATATTTATTTGTTTTTTTGGATCAGCACTGGGCTAATTTCTTGACATCTTTCATATTTTTCTTCTTTAGCCACTCACATATGAATTACATGCATGGGTTTTTCTAGGATTAAATGCACTTCCATTCGTGAGAGAAACCTCAATTATTCATGATACATTAAAGTGTTACTAGATTTTATTTGACTGTATTTGGAGGATTTGGAGAGTTCTCTGTTTATGAGGGACATTAGTGCATAGTTTCTTTTCCTGTAATATATTTTTCTGATTTTGTTATTAAAGTACCTCAGGTTACATAAGATGAGTATTCCATCTTGTATATCTGGAAGTGTATGGGTAGAATGTATCAGTGAAGTCGTATTGGCTAGGAGGGCTTTTCATTTTCTTTGTCGGAGGATTTATGACTGGATTCAATGTCTTGAGTAGGTACAGGAGGATACTTCAGAACGTCACAGGGAACTGAAGTGGAAAGCTTATTGTGGAGCAGAAGTTCGTGTCAAGAGGCAGCAGAAATGTCCTCCCCAGGCTGAGGAGAGGAGGATGTGGAGTGACCCCGTGGGAACGTGTGCCTGGGACAGAGCTCCACCGGGTGAGCCCACATGCACAGCCTTGGCCCCTCTGCTCCCTGCCCTGCCAGGAGCTGGGAGCCTCAGGAGAGCCCCTCCCCCTTTCCCCTTGCTGGGTCCATCCAGTGTCCTGTACAGGGAAGGCTTCGTTTCATGGTTGCCATAGAGGATGATGGGTAAACTAATTGTGTCTTTTGCTATAGAGGTAGGTAGAGAGAGAGGTCTTCCATCAGATGCTTCTCTCCCCAGTTAGCCACAGCTGCTGGAGCTGTGCTGATCTGAAGCCAGGAGCCAGGAGCGTCTTCTGGGTCTCCCATGCAGCTGCAGGGGCCCAAGAACTTGGGTCCTCTGCTGCTGCTCTCCCAGGACACAGCAGAGAGCTGGTTTGGAAGTGGAACAGCCGGAACTAGAAAAGGCACCCATATGGGATGCTGGTGCCTCAGGCCATGGCGTCAACCTGCTGCACCACAGCACCAGCCCTGAGTACTTCTTTTCTAATATAAGCACTTAGTACTTTTTAAATTTTTATAAGCTCTTTTATTTGTTTATTAAAAGGCAGAGTTTTACACAGAGAGAAGGAGAAAGAGTAAGAGAGAGACCTTCCATCTGCATGTTCACTCCCCAAATGGCCTAAGTGAGCAAGGCTGGGCCAGGCCAAAGCTTGGGGCCAGGAGCTTCTAGGTCTCCCTTGTGGATTGAGGGGCTCAAGGACGTGGGGGCATCCTCAGCATCTTTCCTAGGCTCATTAGCAATAGCTGGATTGGAAGTGGAGCAGCTGGGACTTGAACTAGCGTCCATAGGGAATGCTGGTGGGGCAAGCTGTGGCTTAACTATCTGCACTACTGTGCCGGTCCCTGCCTTTATTGCTTTTAAACTTTGTATTTATTAGAAAGGTGTGAGTGGTTGAAGACAGGGAGGTAGATCTTCTGTCTCTTGCTCACTCCTCAAAGGCCAGTCACCACCGAGGCTGCTTCAGCTGAAGCCAAGAGTGGGGAACTCATTGTGAGTTCAGCCATTACTCGCTGCCTTCCTAAGCTTGCATTGGCAGAAAGCTGGATTGAAAGCAGAGCTCAGACCTCAACTCGGGCATTCTCGACCATCGATGCAGGCTTCCCCAGCAGCATCCGCACTGCTGTGCCACACACCTGCCCCCAGCAGGGTTTCATTGACTTCCTCTCCAGCAGTGCATCACACAAGTGTGAGGATGCTGTGTTTTCCTCTTCTCCTTTTCTTTCGATTGTTTTTTCTTACCTTTTTTTTCTTTTTCTTTTTTAATTTCACTGGTAGAGTTAGACAGTGAGAGAGAAAGAGAAAGGTCTTCCTTCTGTTGGTTCACCCCCGAAATGACTGCCATGGCTGACGCTTCGCTGATCTGAAGCCAGGAGCCAGGGGCTTCCTTCTGGTCTCCCATGCGGGTGCAGGGGCCAAGCACTTGGGCCATCCTCCACTGCCTTTCCGGGCCACAGCAGAGAGCTGGACTGGAAGAGGAGCAACTGGGACTAGAACCCGGTGCCCATATGGGATGCTGGCACCGCAGGTGGAGGATTAACCAAGTGAGCCACGGTGCTGGCCCCCTTACCTTCTTTTGACTTGGTTCTTGACTCCTATGTTATTTAGAATTGTGGTTTTAACTTTCTCAACATTTTGAAATTTTCCAGTTATCTTTGTTACTGATTTTTATTTTCCTTCTATTGTTATAAAGAACCTATGCATGATATTAGATAATTCATATGATATTTATAAAATTGTTGAGTTATGCTCTGGAACCTGGAACGTAGTCATTATGGGAAGAGATCTGTGTATTTGAAATTATGTATCTTCAGTCATCAGCAAAAGTGTTTTCTTTTTCTTTTTAATTATCTGAAAGACACAGTTATAGAGAGAGGTAAAAACAGAGAGAGAGGTCTTCCATCTGCTGGTTCACTCCCCAGATGGCCACAATGGCTGGAGCTGCACTCGATCTGATGCTAGGAGCCAGGAGCTTCTTCTGAGTCTCCAACGTGGATGCCAGGGCCCAAAGACTTGGGCCATCTTCTACTGCTTTCCCAGGTCATAGCAGAGAGCTGGATCAGAAGGGGAGCAGCCGGGACTAGAACCGGCACCCATATGGGATACCGGCGTTTCAGGCCAGGGCTTTTAACCCACTGTGCCACAACCCCGACCCCAAAAGTGTTTTCTAAATAGCAGTGGAGTCCAATCAATTGCTGATGATTTTGAGATTTTGTTACAGACTCTATGTGGTCAGTTATTGAGATTTCAATGTCTTCCATTACAATTGTGTATTTCCTTATCTCTTTAGCCATGTCACATTGGATTTTGCTGCCTTTATTTTGAGGGCATGGCAGTGGTCTGTTCTAGCTCGACCACCTCACCTGCTGTCACATTGTGCACCTCGGGACACCATTTACCTAACCCCTGGCCTGGACCAGCTGTGGCCAGCACCCTCTGTGGGGCTTCAGTTTCACCTCCTGCATTGGGAGCGAGACTTTCCCTCCATTAGTTCTTCCCTGAGTCTCGACTGGACCTCTGGGTCAATTGAGAGTGACCATAAAAACTCTGGGTTAGGTGTTTTGGGTGTGTGTATGTATTTCTGTGTGTCTGTATGTGTATGGTTATGTGATTTTTACTCATTAATTAATAGGCAAAGCAGGGAGTGTGAGCTGGAGATCTGCCATCCAGTGACTCTTTTCTCAAATGGCTGCCGTTGCCAGCACTGGCCCAGACAGAAGCCAGGAGCCAGGGACTCCATCTAGGTCTCCCATGAGTGTGGCTGTGGTCCAAGTACTTGGGCCATCACCTGCTTCCTGCATGGTTCACCAGTGTGGAGCATTGGGACCGGAAGTGTCGCTGGTATGTTGGACACATTATCTTTGTGAGAGTCTCCATTCTTTCAGGTCTTTGTTGAGGGCTCATTCCCAGTGCATGGTAGTCTCTGGCTGCATTCTTGATGTATTGGAGTAGTTGTGCCATGTGCATTGAAGTCCAGATACTCTGTGACTGACTGTGCACTGGAATACTGACCGCAGCACCTGACCCCCACCCCCCCCATTCTTCTCTTGGAAGTGCACCTGGAGCTGCAGGGGCTGTGGCATCGGCTGCACGTGTTCATCTCTGGTGCTGCTTTCTCAGGCATGGGTGCTGCTGTGTTTCCCCATCAGTACTATGTGAGTCCTGATGTTTCTTGTCCACAAGAGCTGGCCTTGGCTGTCCATGGCCTTTCCGCCCTTCCAGTGAGTTGTCATGGAAGCCACTGGTAGTTGTCACACAGCCACTGTGTGAGTGGATGCTTTATTATTTTTAAATTTATTTATTTAGTTCACAGAATTACACAGATAGAAGAAGGAGAGAGAGAGAGAGAGAGAGAGAGAGAGAGAGAGAGAAGTTTTCCATCAGTTGGTTCACTCCTCAGTTGGCCACAAGGGCCCGAGCTGCGCTGATAGAAGCCAGGAGCCTCCTCCGGGACTCCCATGAGGGTGCAGGTTTCCAAGGACTTGAGCCATCTTCTAGTGCTTTCCCAGGCCACTGCATTAAGCTGAATCAGAAGTGAAGCAGTTGGTCCTTGAACCGGCATCCATATGGAATGCTGGCACTGCAGGTGGTGGCTTTACCTGTTAGCCATTTCACCATACCCAGGTGCAATTTAGATGTAGTGACGTGCACAGATCTGAAGTATGGTTTGATGAGTTGATAAATGTGTGCAGCCATGGAACCCACTCTTGCTCGGATCCCAGCTATGCCCAGGGCCTCTAAAGTGGCAGCTCCTTTATCGTGCTGTTCTAGAATTGGGCCTGTGTTTGACCAGGGACCTCCCTTATTTGGGTCACCTTCCTATTCTCTTCATCATTGGGAGCATCCTGGGGGTCATATATGTTTCCTTGCTGCTTGGAATCCTAGTTTTTCCTGGCAATGGAGGGTGCTAAGTTGCACCATTGAACACAATGTTTCTCTCTTTTTTTTAACTTTTATTTAATGAATATAGATTTCCAAAGTACAGCTTATGGATTACATTGGCTTCCACCCACCAAGGACTTCCCTCCCACCCGCAACCCTCTCCTTTTCCGCTCTCTCTCCCCTTCCATTCATATCAAGATTCATTTTCAATTTTCTATATGTACAGAAGATCAGTTTAGTATACATTAAGTAAAGATTTCAACAGTTTGCACCCCCATAGAAACACAAAGTGAAATATACTGTTTGAGTACTCGTTATAGCATTAAATCTCAATGTACAGCACATTAAGGACAGAGATCCTACATGAGGAGTAAGTGCACAGTGACTCCTGTTGTTGCTTTGAATATATTGAGGAATGTTCCTTCTATACCCAATTTGCTTAGAGTTTTCATCATGAAAGGGTGTTGAATTTTATCGAATACTTTCTCTGCATCTATTGAGATAATCATATGGTTTTTCTTCTGCAGTCTGTTAATGTAGTGAATCATATTGATTGATTTGCGAATGTTGAACCATCCCTGCATACCAGGGATAAATCCCACTTGGTCTGGGTGAATGATTTTTCTGATGTGTTGTTGTATTCTATTGGCGAGAATTTTATTAAAGATTTTTGCGTCTATGTTCATCAGGGATATTGGTCTATAATTTTCTTTCAGTGCTGCATCTTTCTCTGGCTTAGGGATTAAGGTGATGCTGGCTTCATAGAAAGAATTTGGGAGGATTCCCTCTTTTTTGATTGTTCTGACTAGTTTGAGAAGAAATGGAATTAGTTCTTCTTTAAATGTCTGGTAGAATTCAGCAGTGAATCCGTCTGGTCCTGGGCTTTTCTTTGTTGGGAGGGCCTTTATTACTATTATCAGTTTCTGTCTCAGTTATGGGTCTGTTTAGATTTTCTATGTCTTCCTGGTTCAATTTAGGTAGGTTACATGTTTCCAGGAATTTATCCATTTCTGATAGATTTCCCTGTTTGCTGGCATACAAGTCCTTGTAGTAATTTCTGATGATTCTTTTTATTTCTGTGGTGTCTGTTGTTACATTTCCTTTTTCATCTCTGATTTTATTGATTTGGGTCTTTCCTCTTCTTTTTTTAGTTATTTGGGCCAATGGGGTGTCAATTTTGTTTATTTTTTCAAACAACCAGCTCTTCGCTTGGCTGATTTTTTGTAATTTTTTTTGGATTCAATCTTGTTAATTTCTTCTCTGATTTTAATTGTTTCTCTTCTCCTACTAGATTTGGGTCTGGTTTGCTGCAGTTTTTCTAGGTCCTTGAGATGCAGTGAAAGCTCATTTATTTGGTGCCTTTCCAATTTCTTGATATAGGCACCTATTGCTATAAACTTGCCTCTCAATACTGCTTTTGCCGTATCCCATAAGTTTTGATATGTTGTGTTGTTATCTTCATTTACTTCCAGAAAGTTTTTTTTCTTGAATGACCCAGTGTTCATTCAGGAGCATGTTGTTCAGTCTCCATGTGTTTGCATACTTTCTAGGGTTTCCCGAGTTGCTAATTTCCAGCTTCATTCCACTGTGGCCTGAGAAGCTGCATGGTATGATTCTAATTCTTTTAAATTTGCTGAGACTTGCTTTATGACCTAGTATGTGATCAATCCTAGAGAAGGTTCCATGCACTGCTGAGAAGAATGTAAAGTCTTTAGATGTAGGATTGAAAGTTCTGTAGATATCTGTTAGATCCATTTGGGCAATAGTGTCGATTAAATCTGCTGTTTCCTTGTTGATCTTCTGTCCGGATGATCTGTCTATTTCTGAGAGTGGAGTATTGAAGTCCCCCAGTACTATTGTATTGGAATCTAAGTCTCCCTTTAAGTCCCTTAACATATCTTTTAAATAAACCGGTGCCCTGTAATTAGGTGCATAACATTTATAATAGTTACATCTTCCTGTTGAATTGAACCCTTAATCATTATATAGTGCCCTTCTTTGTCTCTCTTAACAGTTTTTGTATTAAAGTTTATTTTGTCTGATATTAATATGGCTACACCTGCTTTTTTTTGGGTTTCTGTTGGCATGGAATATCTTTTTCCAACCTTTCACTTTCAGTCTGCATGCATCTTTGTTAGAGAGATGTGTTTCTTGTAGGCAGCAAATAGTTGGGTTTTGTTCCTTAAGCCAATCAACCAATCGGTGTCTTTTAACTGAAGAGTTAAGTCCATTAACGCTTAATGTGACTATTGATACATAGTGACTTTGCCCTGCCATTTTCCCAGAGGTATTTTCTAGTTTATGCTTTGAGCTTCCCATGCTCTTTTACTGGTAGGTGTTCTTCCTTTCCCTTCTTTCATATTGATGGCCGTGTTTCCGTGTTTCTGAGTGTAGCACATCTTTAAGTATCTTTTGCAGGGCCAGATGAGTGGCGGCAAAATCTTTCAATTTCTGTTTGCTATGAAAGGTCTTTATTTCACCTTCATTCACAAATGAGAGCTTGGCAGGATATAATATTCTGGGCTGGCAATTTTTCTGTCTTAGCACCTGTGCTATGTCTCGCCATTCCCTCCTAGCCTGTAGTGTTTCTGATGAGAAGTCTGCTGTGAGTCTAATTGGAGATCCTCTGAGAGTAATCTGACGTTTCTCTCTTGCACATTTTAGGATCTTTTCTTTATGTTTCACTGTGGTGAGTTTAATTACAACGTGTCTTGGTGAGGATCTCTTTTGGTCATGTTTATTGGGGGTTCTATGAGCTTCCTGTACTAGGATGTCTCTGTCCTTCTCCAAACCCGGAAAGTTCTCTGCTAGTATCTCACTAAAAAGGCCTTCTAATCCTTTCTCCATCTCCATGCCTTCAGGAATTCCTAGAACCCGAATGTTGGTTTTTTTAATAGTATCCTGTAGATTCCCAACAATATTTTTTAGATTTCTAATTTCCTCTTCTTTTCTTTGGTTTGACTGTATGTTTTCCTGTTCTCTGTCTTCTAAGTCTGATATTCTCTCTTCTGTTTCACTGACTCTGTTTTTTAGACTTTCTAATGTGTTTGTCATTTGATCTATTGAGCTCTTCATTTCATTTTGATTTCACTATCACACTTTCCTGTTCTACTAGTTTCTACATTTCATTTTGATTCTTCCTTAAAATTTCATTTTCACGAGAGAGATTTTCAATCCTGTCCAATAAGGATTTCTGTAGTTCAAGGATTTGCTTTTGAAAACTTCTAAATGTTCTTAGCATAAATTTTTTGAAATCTGTATCTTGCATTTCTTCTATCTCATCATCTTCATAATATTGGCTTGGGGTGTTTTGTTTATTTGGAGGCATCATAGTGTCATTGTTGATCTTGTTCCCTCGATTTTTGTGTTTGTTGCTTGGCATTGTTAATTCTTCTTCCCTCACTGTGAGTTTTTTTTTTTTTTTTTAATACTATGTCTGTGTTAAGTGGACTGTCTGCTGTTGGAGGAGCCTTGGAGGCTTGAGATGAGTGTGGCCTGAGAGCTCTGCTTGGTTCTTCAGGGTTACAGGTGTGCAAAGGTGACACCCTCAGGTTATGCGTGGTAAATCTCTATTTATTTATTTATTTAATTTTTTTATTCAGGAGGTAAGTAATACCGCACAGCTGAGCAGAATTGATGGTATTTAGCTTCCGATCTCTGGCTTCTACCCAATGAGTCTGTGCGCGCTCAGTTTCTCCTGCGGACTCCCACTAGGTTGCCTAGGCTACTGGATTGTAGCGCCTCAGTTCCTTAGCTCTCCCCTTTTGTTATGTATATCCAGAGTGTGGCCTGCTCTTTGTCTCTTGCTTGCCTTTGCAAGGTTGGCGGAGAGAGAAACTAGTCTGTAACAGTACCCCCCAACCTTTTTTTTTTCTTCTTCTTTGCTGTAGTCGGTCTGGTGAACTTTCCCGGCTCAAGCCCGCTTCCCTCTAGATTCTGACTGCCGTTTCCCCGCCAATGTCTCGGGTTACTGAGCTCACCTCCCCTTCCAGCGCCGATGTGTGGACTTGGAGCCCTGGGCATTCCTGCTCTCCCCGCTGGTCGTCTGTGTCACATCCATTCCCCTTCCCACACTGGTGCGCAGACCCTGTGGCTCCCATGGCTCGGCTTCTGCGCAGTGGGCGACCTTGCTATCCCCATAGGTCCTCTGAGTCACAGCCACTAGATCCGGAAGAGTTTCCTCTGCAATTTTTTCCTAATCCTTTTTCTGAGGTTACCATAACTCCACTTTTATTAAACTAAATTTTCCCGGACTATTGGTGCGCACCCTCACTATTCCACCATCTTGGTTCCGCCCTCTGGCTTTCGTAATGGTTTTATCAATGTTTCTCTTAAGTTTCAGAATTTTGATGGCCCCAGAACTTCTCCTCTGTCCATTTCTAGTCCATTGAAGTGCTTCAAAAAGTCCTGGAAGCATTAGCTAATTAAAATATAATTTTATTTTGGTGCAATACAACTTTGTAATCTCTGTATAGTTTTTTTTTCCATTGTGCCCGTCTTGAACATTTTGAAGTGTGTTTAGCAGACTCAGGTTTGTAGGTGATCCTGTGCCTGGACTGGACACTGCCTGCCTAGCCCATGCAGGAAGTTAACATGACTGCTGGCAGGTGGAAGGAGCCCCAGGCACATTTCCCTCAGGCCCACTTCTGTTGCAGAGCCTTGTGATTGCCAATCACTGAGCACTCCCCTTTATACCCGAACACCCACAGGGCATGAGTAGAACCATGTTGGCCCATCTGGAAGGCTACCTAGGCTAAGTGACCTTCAAGCTAAATGGAGGAGTGCAGTGGCGCCATTATCAGCTTTATCATATAGAATTAGTGTTGCCCTGAGTTAGCTATGCCCCCTCTGTCTGCCCTTTAAAAGCTTATGCTTGGTCGTTTACATGGACACATTCACCAAACTTGTCTGTGGTGATTCTTGTCGAAGAACGCAGTCGTCCCTCCATCCCGGCAGTGCAGGCCTCACAGGACGAGTCCACACAGATTGAATTCCCAGTTTCTGGGTTCCCCCTGTCTTACCTCATCGGTTTGGAGCCTCTGAGTAGTGAAGCAGCAGTGTGGAGGCCTTTCTGTCTCTCTGATTTCTGCCTTTGAAATAAATAAGTACAAATGAACAGAAGTAGTAAGTGTTGCACTTGGAATTTCACTTGGAATGTGTGGGTATTTTAGTTGCTCTATATTCTCCCCAGGATTTTGCTATCATTTTCCTTCTTGTCAGTATTAACCATTGTAATGGGTTGTTGTATCTCACTGTTACAGGAATTCAGGTTTCCCTACTGAGGAATACTGTGGAGCATCTCTTCAGGTTTTTATTTGCTGTTTGAATGTCTGGGTATGTGTATTGTCTGTTTAATATTTCTTCCCTTTTATTTTGCTGTTTGGTTTGTTAGTGTTGCATCCTGAGTGTCTTTATGTTTCTGGATTCAGTTCCTTTATCTAAAGTATCTGATGTGCAAATATTTTCTCCCAGTCTGTAGTTTTCCTGTTTCATCAGTCAGTGGAATTGTTTTTCAGCACTGTTTCCAGTTGCAGAGAACAGAGTAGACAGCACAGAGAGTCTTCTTGTATTGTCCCCAAGTTTCAGTGTGTCCCCCGTCACATTAACATCTTGCTTGAGTGTGACATATTGGTTCAGTTGTTGATCCACTGTGGAGATACAGCAGTATTATTAGGTAATGTCTATAGGTTACATTAGTGCTCACTCTGTGTTGTACATTCTGTGGGTTCTGACAAATCCATGCCATTCTGGGTCCACGATCACAGTGACACACAGAGTATTTCAGTGTCCTGTAAATCCACTTTGCTCCACCCATTCACCCTTCTCCCTACCCCTGTCAACTTCTGGTCTATGAACTGTGTGTGTATTCTCTGACTTTTCCAGAAGTCAATATACTTGGCAACATGCAATATAGAACTGTTTTTTTAATTATTGGCAGAAAGAGACAAAGAAATAGATGTGGAAATAGAGATCAGTATATAGATAGTGTTCTCATCATCTGGTTCTCTCCCTGCAGCTCCACCACAGCTGGAGCAAGCTGAAGCCAATAGTGGGAGCCAGAAGAGAATCCAGGTGTCCTCCAAAGTAGCAGGAACTCAGTCATTTGAGCCATCACCAGTGCCCCCCAGGGCCTGCATGAACAGGAACCGGAAGTCAGGAGCCTGAGTCGGTGTCAGACCCTGTGCTGCAGTCTGGGATGCAGGCATCCGAACTGGTGAGTCCCCTGCCAGGCTGACCACCTGCCCCTCGTGTTCTATCTACACACTGAGAGAGATCACGTTCATTCCTTCACTGGGTCAGTCTTCCATTGCCTGGAGAGTCTGGAATTTGGGTCAAAGCTGGGAAGTAGGAGCTCACTCCAGCTCTCCCATTGGGTGGCAGAAATGCATTCACTTGAGCAATCACTGCTGCCTCCCAGGATCTGTACTGTCAGGAATTAGGAGTCAAGGGTGGAGCCAGGTTTGCAAGCCAGGCACTTCCCTATGGGGCCGGCTGTCTTATCCAGCCTGTTAACCAAATGCCAGGTGAGATACCCACCCTCAACAGTAGGTTGTGGAGCTGTAGTGTCAGTTCTTACTCTTGGTTTGCTTGCAGTGTGATACAGGTTTCTGCATCCTTTGCCCTTCTGTTTGACATTCGTTCACTTTGTTGACATCCACAGAAGAACATGCTGACACTCTGGTTAGGATCAGAGTGAACCCGTAGGTCAGTGTTGAAGAAATGAGAACTTCACAGAGTGATTTCACATTTTCATGGTTCATTGTTTCTGTTGTTCTGTCGATTTTAAGAATTTTCTTGTTTATTTGCAAGGCAGAGTTATAGAGAGAGGTTGATCGTCCATCTGCTGGTTCATGTCCCAAATGGTCACAATAGTCAGGACTGGTCCAGGCCAAATCTATGAGGCCAAACTCCATCCTGGTCTCCCTCATGAATGGCAGGGGCCCAAGAGCTTGAGCCAACTTCTGCTGCTTTCCGAGGCACATTTGAAGGGAGGTGAATCAAAAGTGGAGCAGCTGGGATCGAATCCAGTACTCATAAGGAGGTGCCGGCATCACGGGTGCTGGCTTAAGCCACTTAACCCAGAGTACCAGATCCTGACATTGTTCATTGTTGTTAATATGGAAAATTGACTTTATATTTTATGATTTTTGAAAGATTGATTTGTTAATTTGAAAGGCAGATTTACAGAGAGGGAAGGAGGGAGGGAGGGAGAGAGAGAGGTGTCTTCCATCTTTTGGGTCACTCCCCAAATGGTGGCAATGGTAGGATCTGGGCAGGTTCGAAGTCAGGAGCCAAGAGCTTCTTCCGGGTCTCCCACATGGGTTCAGGGGCCCAAGGACTGGGGCCATCTTCTATGGCTTCCCAGACCATAGCAGAGAGCTTGATTAGAAGTGGAGCAGCTGGGGCTCAAACCAGTTCTTTTATGGGAAGCCAGCACTGCAGGCACGACTTTACCTGGTACGCCACAGAGCTGGCCCTACAATTGACTTTTTCATCCTAGCCTGGTGTCCTGACACCTTCTTAGAATAGCATATGAATTCCAAGAGTTTCTAGCCTTTCCCCTCCCTTCCTTCCTTTTCTGATTCTTACAGATTTATAGTGTATGATACTATTTCTCCAGTGAACGAAGATCATTCTGTTTCTCCTCCCCAGTTCATACATCTTTCATTTTCTGTTCTTCTCAGATTGCATGAGGTAGAGTGTCCAGCAGGTGGTGCTGAATCAGTGGTGAGAGATGACATTCTTACCTTGTTCTGATTTTAGAAATATAATGTAAAATTTACATTTTGTAGACATTCCCTATCAGATTGAGAAAGTTCCACGCTGTTCCTAGTTAGCTCAGGGTTGTGTCATGAGAGAATGTGGGATGTTGTCTGATGTTGTCTCAGCCCACCACGTGATGATGGTGTTCTTTAGCTTGTTGATGTGATGTACTTCACTGGCTGGTACTTGACATGTTGATGTAGCCTTGCAGACCTGGAATAAGCTCTGCTGGTTGTGCTGTAGGATTCTTTTCAAAGGGTATTGGCCTCCACTTGTAAATATTTTAGTGAGGACAATTCCATGCATGTTTATGAGAGATACTGGTCTGGAGGTTTTGTGTATGTGTGTTTTTACCTTGTTTTGACATTAGGGTATTTCTTGTATCATAGAATGAGTATTCCTTTGCTATTTCCTGAACACTTGATGGAAAATTGGCGTTTTTAAAAAATGATTGATGGAGAGGAAGTATGTTGGTGTAGTGTTAACAGCACTCTGATGTCTGCATCCCATGTCTGAACGCCTTGGTTTGATTTCGGATCTGCTCCCAATCCAGCTTCCTGGTACTGTGCACCCTGGGAGGCGTGAGTGATGGCTCCCGCAGTTGGATCCCTGCCCTCTACATGGGAGACCTGGATTGGGTTCTTGGTTCCTAGCTTCAGCCGGGCCCAGCCCTGGCTGTTGTGGCTGTCTGGGGAGGGAACACATGACAGCTTCATTCTCTCTCCCAGTCTCTTTTGGCTTTTAGATAAATAATGTATCAAAATAAACACTTAAACATTTTGTATAGTTCACTACAAAACCATTTAGGCGTGGCTTCTTCACTGCTAACCTTTGATAAAATGTATTTAATAGTTATGGAACATGCAAATTTTCTAGTTCTCCTTGTGTTTCTTTTCATTTATTTTGTCAAATTTTTGTTCACATTATTGTTCTGTGTTTTTTTTTTTTGTGTGTGTGTCCATTGGGTCAGTAATGATGTCACCTCTTTCATTTATAGGATTGATAATTTATACTTGTTTTTTCCCTTTTCCTTGGTTAGGCCTGACAAGAAGTTCATGAATTTTGTTGATGTTTCCAAGGATTCAGATTTTAGGGATAGTAGTTTTCTCTACAATTGTACTTCTTTTCACTTCCATTGATTTCTTTTTTTTTTTTTTTTTGACAGGCAGAGTGGACAGTGAGAGAGAGAGACAGAGAGAAAGGTCCTCCTTTGTTGTTGGTTCACCCTTCAATGTCTGCTGTGGCCAGCACGCTGCAGCTGGCGCACCGCGCTGATCCGATGGCAGGAGCCAGGTACTTCTCCTGGTCTCCCATGGGGTGCAGGGCCCAAGGACTTGGGCCATCCTCCGCTACACTCTCTGGCCACAGCAGAGAGCTGGCCTGGAAGAGGGGCAACTGGGACAGAATCTGGTGCCCTGACCGGGACTAGAACCTGGTGTGCCGGCACCACAAGGTGGAGGATTAGCCTATTGAGCCACGGCGCCGTCCTCCATTGATTTCTACATCTAACTTATTTTAAATTCATTTTCTTCCTCTGATTTTCTTTTTTTTTAACTGCTTTTAAAACTTGAGACCCCTCCCATCTGCTGGCCCTACCCACAAAGGCCCAAATGGGCAGGCAGGGCCGAAGCAAGGGGGAGGGAGGGAAATGTTTGATCCCAGGTGGGTGGCATGGGGAGTGGGAGGGGTGGGTGAGCTGAGTCAGCAGGAGGTGGAAGGGAGAAGTAGCCAGGAACCTATACAAGCCACTCTCTGCTTCCATCCTCAGCTGGTAGCTCTGTGCATTGAGGAAGCTCCACCTGCATGGAGGTGCTGGGTTCCATTCCCACCGCCTGGCCCATGCCTTCGGATTCTAAATGGAAGCACCTGTGTGGGGCTTGGGGCTGGGATTGCTGATCCACCCACTCCAGGATGCGGGAAAACACCTTCCGGATTGCTATGCCCCCCACAGCACGACAGACCCCTGCCCAATTCTTCCTCTGATTTTCTAAGATGAAAGCCAAGGTTATTGATCTTGATTGTTTTCTAAAAGATGTATTCAATAGTATAATTTGGCAAAATATAATTTCACCATCATTTAATTTGAAATATTTTTCTTTTTCTCTTGAGACTTACTCATTAGACATGCATTATATAGAGGTTTCTGCTTAATCTCCAAGTATTTGGGATTTTCCAGTTGTTTGTCACGGACTTCTCACTTGGATCCCATTATGACCTGAGAGCTTATTTCCTGTGACTCCTGTTCTTCCTTAGGTGTTGACGTGTGCTTCACAGGCACGGAGGTAGTCAGTGTGAACGTTCTGTGTGGGCCTGAGAGAGTGTAGAGTCTGCTGCTGTGGGGTGGAGCATCCTCTCCGTGCCCAGTAGATGCACAGTTGATTGATGGTGCGTTTTTATTCAACTGTATCCATACTGCTCTTGTGACTGCTGATCTGTTCATTTCATCATGTGTTTCATGCTTTGCTTCTTTTTAGCTTTATTTTATTTATTTGAAAGACAGAGTTACAGAGAGAGAGGTCTTCATCTGCTGGTTCACTCCCCAGATGGTCGCCACAGCTGGCACTGCTCCAATCTGAAGCCAGGCACCAGGAGCTTATTCTGGGTCTCCCATGCTGGTGGCAGGGGCCCAAGGATTTGGGCCATCTTCTCCTGCTTTCCCAGGCCATAGCAGAGAGCTGGATGGGAAGAGGAGCAGCCGGGACTAGAATGGGCACCCATATGGGATGCCAGCATTTCAGGCCAAGGCATTAACCCGCTGTGCCACAGCACCAGCCCCTCAAACTTAATTTCACTTCTTTTTTTATTTTGAGAAACTTAAATAACTTTAAAGACGCACCCAAGAATGATACATCTTTTGGGAGCACTTAGAAATAACTGGAGCTTATGTGATGTCAGAGTATCCTCCTACATATAGGGGATCCAGAAGACTCCAATCAGAGACTTGGAAGTCATAGAAGAGTTTGGTAAAGTGGCAGAATATAAAATCAACACACAAAAATCAACAGCCTTTGTATATACAAACAATGCCACGGCTGAGAAAGAACTTCTAAGATAGGGGGCCGGCGCCGTGGCTCACTTGGTTAATCCTCCACCTGCGGTGCTGGCATCTCATGTGGGTACAGGGTTGTAGTTCCGGTTGCTCCTCTTCCAGTCCAGCTCTCTGCTGTGGCCCACAAGGGCAGTGGAGGATGGCCCAAGTGCTTGGGCCCCTGCACCTGCATGGCAGACCAGGAAGAGGCTCCTGGCTTTAGATTGGCACAGCGCCGGCCGTAGCGGCCATTTGGGGAGTGAACCAATGGAAGGAAGACCTTTCTCTCTGTCTCTCTCTCACTGTCTATAACTCTACCTGTCAAATAAAAAAAATAACTTCTAAGATCGATCCCATTCATAACTTCAAAAGTCTTGGAATAAATCTAACCAAGGATGACAAGGATCTCTATGGTGAGAATGTCTGTGCTTGTTTTTTTTTTTTTTTTAAGATTTATTTTATTTATTTGAAAGAATTACAGAGAGAGGTAGAGATAGTGAGAAAGAGAGAGATCTTCCATCTACTGGTTCACTCCCCAAATGGCAACAATGGCCAGAGCTGAGCCTATCCAAAGCCAGGTACCAGAAGCTTCTTCCGGGTCTCCCATAGGGGTGCAGGTGCCCAAGGACTTGCGCCAACTTTGCTGCTTTCCCAGGTGTGTTAACAGGGAGCAGGATTGAGAGTGGAGTAGTTGGGAGACCCATATGGGATGCCAGCACTGTAGGCCTGGACTTGAACCCGCCGAGGCACTGTGCAGGCCCGGAGTCTTTCTGTTTTAATTGGCGTGCTCAGGCTATTGACATGCAGTGTAGTTATCGATGTATTTCCGTTTAACATGTTATTACCTGGTTTTCAGTAGAAGCCCATGATGTGAGTCTGCTCCCCCAACACACAGCAGGCCAGTTGTTGGCACTGGGGTGCTGGTGGGTGTGTGTTTGTAGTGCACAGAGTAAAAAGGCAGCTGTTGCCTGGTTATCAGACTCCTGTAGAGATTAAGGGTGGTGAGTCTTGTAGATGAAAGTTGAACAGTAAAGGACCAGCTCATGCAGGCCTCTCTGGCTTGTCTGCAGTGCTTGTGGCTTTTTGTCTGGTCAGCAATAAGATAGCCAGTGTGTTCTGAGGAGGCTGGGATGGCAAAGTGGGCTTCTGAGTGTCTGGGTCTGTGAGGGGGTGGCTGTTGCAAAGCTCACTCAGGACCTGGGCTTCCTGAGAAGCATCTCAGTGGGAGCCAGCAGGAAGATGTTAACCTAGAGAGTCTAGTTGAATTGGGGATTTTGTGATGTGGGCTCGTTGGGGCCAGTCTGGCCTGTGCTGCTCCCGGAATTTAATGAGGTCATGTTCACTAAGGAGTTGACTTCTGCATCAAGGTGAAGACAGAGAGTGCAAGCTAAGGGGAGAGACTGGGGCCTGCGTGAGTCTCTATCAGAGGCCTTAGGACCAGGACTCAGATTCAGTGATCGTTGTTCTAGTTTTGTTCCCACATTCCTGCTGTCTGCGTTATTTTGTGTCACTTGGACATTTCTTTGTACCCCATTTTACATATCCCAGCTGAGTGTACCTTCTTCTTTCAAAACTTTTTTGTTTCTTTTTGCAAAAATTTCTTAGCTGTGTCACAGTCTAATTAGAATCATTGTTTCCATCCATTTCACATGAACTATGGAACTCTTAGCACCATGTAAATCCATTTGCTCTGCTCCTTGATGCTGTCATTGTCCTACTTTTCTGTGTTAGGCACGGGAACCCCAGAAGACAGTGTCATCTCTGCACTTCATCTTTCTGGAGACGTGGCTGTCAGGCACTTCTATGACCTCCGTGTTCCAGGTCAGTGTCAATGTGGATGCCTAGAGGAAAACCGCATTGAGGACCAGAAGCCGATTCCCCTGAGGGACCGGGTGGTCACCTGCCTGCCCCTCCTCCATTGGGCACCTCTGACAGCTTGGCTGCCAGAAGTGGCCGTGTGTGAGCTTCCAGGGCATGTCCCTCATGGGGCGGATTCTCTCCCAGGGAATGTGTGTGCAGCCTCTGTGTTTGAGATCGTTTTCACCAAGGACTTTGTACCTAGCCACGTGTGGTGGTTCTTCCAGCAGCCGGCTGCTTCCCATTAGTGCTCCATGGAAGCCACCGGGCCCAGCTGCTCTCAGGTCCATGGTCGGCTGCTACCTCTGCCTGAGCCTCGGGCTCTGGGCTGAAGCAGCGTGCGAAGTGGAAAATCTCGTGGACTTGTTTCTCTGATCCAGCATAGAGATCTTTTAAGGTGAGTGAGGAAGACTTCTAGTTTCCTTTTGTGATTCTTCCCTGTCAGCCTGTGCCATGCCATTCTTCTTTGCATATTGCTCTTTGATTCTGCAGCTGTGCTGGGCATGCTGGGAGTTCTACTACTGCTGTGGATTGCTTAGCACTTTTCTGAATGTGAGCTCATGCTAGGGGAGAACAGGGGTGATTCTGCCTCTCCCAGGATGGTTGCTTTTCACTTCCTTTTTTGCCTGCAGTGGCACTGCTGAAGACCATTTTTTTGTTTCTAATGTTTTTTAAAGATTGATTTATTTGAAAGGCAGAGTTAAAACAGACAGAGTTCTTCTATCCACTGGTTCATTCCAAATAGCCACAGTGGCTACTGGGACGGTCAAAGCCAGGAGCTTCATGGAGGTCTCACACATAGGGCAGGGCCCTAAATACTTGGTCCATCCTCTGCTGTTTCCCAGGCACAGTAGCAGGGAGCCAGATCAGAAGTGGAGCACTTGGACTCAAACCCTTGCCCGCCTGATATGCAGGCGCCACAAGCAGCGGCATTACCTCCTATGCCACACGCACAGGCCCTGGGACTAAGTTTTAATATTGGGAAATGTGAATCTTCTAACAGTATCTTTCATTTTCAAAGCTGCTTTGCTCCTACTGGGTTCCTTACCTCTCTGTATGAATTTTAGCATCTGTACATCAAGTTTGAAGAAAGGGCACTAGAGCTTGGAAGGAATTGTGTGATTTGTGTAGGGAATTTGGGGAGTATTGTTATATTAACAGCACTACAGCATGTTGATCAGAAGTAACAAGAGCAAAACCGTTAGTCTTCTTCCTGATCTAGGAAGAGCGATTCCTGGTTTTCTTTTTTAAATTTCTGCCCCCAGAGTCTTTGAGATTTACATAGAAAATGTACTGAATATTTTGAATTCTTTGAATATCATTCACCTAGTAATGTTATTATCAATTTGTTTTTTTTTAAAATAGGTATTTATTTGAAAGAGAGAGGGAGGGGAGGAGGGAGGAGGGAGAGAGAGAGACAGAGAGAGAGGGAGAGGTCCTCCATCTGCTGGTCCACTCCATAAGTGGCCGCAACAGTCAAAGCCAGACCAATCCGAAGTCAGGAGCCAGGAGCCTCCCCCGGTCCCCCACAGGAATACAAGGACCCAAGCACCCGAGACATCCTCCACTGCCCTCCAGGGCAAGGAGGGAGCTGGATTGGAAGCAGAGCAGCCAAGACCGGAACCGGTGCCCACATGGGATGCTGGCACCACAGGCGGCAGCTTTACCCATCATGCCAGAATGCTGGCCCCTATTTGATTTTATGTTTTTAAGGCTATTTGTGTATTTGAATTCAGAGCTACGGATTGGATTGTGTGTGTGTATGTGTGTGTGAGAGAGAGAGAGAGAGAAACTGTCTTCCTACATCCACTGGTATACTGGTTTCCTCCCCAAATAGTCACATGGCCAGGCCTGGGCCAAGCTGAAACCTGAGGTCTGGAACTCCATCTGGACCCAGAGTCTTGGGCCATTTTCTCCTGCTTTTCAGACAGATTCCCAAGGAGCTGAATCAGAAGTTGAGCAGCCAAGTCTTATACCAGTGTCCGTAAGCGACGCCAGCATGGCAGACAGTGGCTTCACCTGCTGTGCCATGATCCCAGCCCCGAGACCAATGAATTTAAAAGATAAGTTTAGGATGGGCCCTGGCACAGCAGTTACATCTTGGGAAGCCTGCATCCATGTCAGAGTGTCCAGGGTCAATTCCCAGTTCTCCTTCTCTTCCACCTCCTTGGGAGTTTATACCCTGGGGGGCAGCAGATGGCTGGCTCTAGTACTGGAGTCGCTGCCACCAATCTGAGAGATCTAGATGGAGTTCCAGGTTCCTGGCTTCGGCCTGACACAGCCCTGGTTATTGCAGACACCGGAGAGTGAAGAAGTGGATGCAAGTCTGTGTGTGTGTGTGTGTGTGTATGTGGTGAGCCTTTCAGATGAAAAGCAATAATGAAATATAGAGATAAGTTTATTTGGTATGTAAAATTTTGAATTTCATGCACAGGTGTTCATTTCTTTATTTTTTTTTTTAAGTTTTATTTAGTTATTTGGAAGGCAGAGTCTTTATCTGCAGGATCCCTCTCAAATGGCCACACAAGTCTTCCAGGTCCCATGTGGGTGCAGGGGCCCAAGCCCTTGGGCCATCTCTCACTGCTTTCCCAGGCCATTAGCAGGGAGCTGGATCAGAAGTGGAGCCCTGGGACTCAAACTGGTGCCCATAGGGGATGTAGGCGCCCCAGGTGGAGCCTGAACCTACTACCCCCACGCCAGCCCCTGCAGTGCCCCCGCCTCCTCCTCCCTTGTGGGCACCACTGGCTTCCGTGAAGTGGCCCTGGGAACTTCCGGTTTTTGCCCCTCTCAGGACAGGCGGCCCGGGTGGGTGGAGGCAGCCATTGTGTGTGCTGGGTCTCAGCGCAGGCCACAGCGCCCTCACCACACCGAGGCCACTGTCTTCCTGGGTGCTCCATGGGAACTGCAGGGGGCATCGTGGGTGGAGCAGGGCGCTGGGCGGTGGCTCCCATGGGTGAGCCTAGCGCTCTAGGCCCGAGGCAGCGTTGAAGCCATGACCTTCGCCGGCCTCTGTCCAGCAAGCACAACGGGGCTCCCTGTGGTGAGTGAGGGGGGCGTCCCGGGTTCCTGCTGGGGGCTTCCCTGCTGGCTTGGGCCAGGCCTCTGCACCTTGCCTGTTGCTCTGGGGTCCTGCAGGGAGCAGGGCGTGGGTGGAGTCGCGGTGGTGCTGTGCGGACCCTGGAACTTTGCCCAGTGTGTGAGCAGCTGTGGAGAGCAGAGGTGGCTCTGCCTGCTCCCGGAATGGCCCGTGTTCCCCTTTGTGTCCTTGTTGATGGCCCAGCCACCCTGCTCTAGACCTCTGAGCCCCCTGACCCAGGAGTAGGAGCGAACATGCTTGTCTGTTTCCTGGGCTCCGAGGACGGTTTCTGGTTACTGCATTCAGTGTGATGCCATGCTGTGTGCATTTTTCATGAAAGATGGTTGTCCGGCTGAGGTTGGCCTTCGTCCTAATTAGGTGATTTCTTTACTATCTCAAAGGTAACTAAGTTTTTGCGAAATAGGTCTTCTCTGTCTATAGGGGTGCTTTGTGGGCTTTTCTCATGTTTATTCTGTTCTGTGATACATTGATTTTCATATGGAAGCCATCCTTGCATTCCCAGAGTAACTCCCAGTTGCACAGAGTGTGCAAACCTTTTTTGTACTCCTGGATAGGGTTTGGTAATCTTTTGTTGAGGAATGGGATATATTCATAATGGATATTTGTGTGCCATTTTCTTTATGATCTGTTTGTGTTGGCTGTTGGGCTAATGCTGATCTGATGGAATAAAATGGAATATTTTTCCTCTTCATCTCTTTTTGGAAGGGTTTGCGAATCAAGGACTTTAATTATCCTTTAAATGGGAGTTTTCTCCTGTGGAACCATCTGGACCTGGACTTTTCTTCATTTTTTTTTTTTCCTGCTACAGCAATCTCTTTTCAAATTATAAGTATATTCAGACAAGTGAATGGAAGACCTCTCTCTCTGTCCCTACCTCTCTCTGTAACTCTGTTTTTAAAATAAATTAAAAAACAAAAGAGTAAGTATATTCAGAGTTTCTAGTTTTACTGGAGTTTTTTAGCGGTTTGTTTCTTTCTGAGAATTAATCCATTGTATCTACGTTGAACCAATTTTTTTTGAAGATTTATTTGAAAGAGTTACAGAGAGAGGTCGAGACAGAGGTCTTCCAACCACTGGTTGTCTCTCCAGATGGCCGCAATGGCCGGAGCTGTTCCAGTTCAAATCAAGGAGTTTCTTCCACGTCTCTCACATGGGTGCAGAGGCCCAAGGACCTGGGCCATCTTCCACTGATATCCCAGGCCATAGCAGAGAGCTGTAATGGAAGAGGAGCAGCTGGGACTAGCACCAGCACCCTCTAATTTTTTATTTCACCTTCATTCATGAATTAGAGCTTTGCAAGGTTTAGTATTCTGGGTTGACAACTTTTTCTCTTATGGCTTGGAATAGATCTCACCACTTTCTCCTAGCCCATACTGGGTTTCTGATGAGAATTCAGATGTGATTATAATTGGAGATCCTCTTAATATAGTCTGATGTTTCTCTTGTGTACACATTAGAATCTTTGCTTTATGTTTGTGAAGAATTTGACTGAAGTGTTTCATGGTGAAGATCTTTTCTGGTCATGTTTATTAGGAGTTCTATGTGCTTGTGTTTCAGGGGAGAGACATATTCAGTTTTCTCAGATGCCTTTGCTGTGTCTCTAAAGGCTTATGTGTGTGTCCTTATTCTGTTTATTACATTGATTGCCCTGTCGTGTTTACCATCCTTGCATTCCTGGAATTATGCTCAGTTAATCAGAGTGTGTAAACCTTTTATTACGCTGGATTCCGTTTGCTGATAAATTTTGTATATTTGCAGGTGATGCTTGTTTGTTGTTTTCTGTATGATGTAGTCTTATTTTCACATCAGGCTCGTACTGGTGCCCTGACATCAGATGGCAGGTGCTTCTTCTTATCTATTTTTGGAAGGGTTTCTGAATTCTGGTTTTAATCATCCTTTACATCTGTTGGTGGGTGCTCATGGCTGCTGCTCTCCCAGCCCTGACTCAGCCCCCTGGAGGGCACAGGTGAATCTCAGGCATTAGCTTCAGGGTGCTGTGCAGATCTCTGCCTGGGGTGGGGGCTGTGGAGCCTCCAAAGCTCGTCAGAAACACCGAGAAGCCCTGCTGAAGCTGGGCTCTGGGGGTCACAAAACTGGAGCAGACATGTTCCAATCTAACACTTTAGTACATGGAAACAATTTAATACACGTCAGCATCAAGAATAAAGGCCTAAAGGTTCTCCTTGAGGGTGGGGGTGGGAACCGTCCAGTAGCTACAGGCACTATGCTATCACCTTCCAGCGATGGAGGTGCCCACAGCAGTCCTGACACCCCTCTGTCCTGGACCCAGGAAGAGGCGG